GTGCAACCTTGTTAGCACTTTAGCTTTGTACCTGAAAACCAAACAACAGATAATACCCAAGTGTGAATCAATATCCAAGATGAAGCCCACCTTGAAGGCCCAACTGTTGGCTCAGGGAGCTCCCCACTGGATAGCAACGTTAGTCTTTAATCCCAGCTACCCTATTATTGGTGCCGCTGCACAAGATCTCACAGTAGCTATGAAAGGGACCTGATAATGTCTCATTTTACAGATGAGTAAAGTGAGTCGTAAGGCATTAGAGTGACTCACCAAAGACATAAAACCACTGAGCGCTGGGGATGAAGTTGGAAATACTCATAAGTCGCGTCAGACTCCAGAGCCTTGGTACACCAAGCCCACCCTTCTAGTCCAGTGATCAATTCTGGCAGGTAAATTTTCCAATTCTGTTTTAAAAGGCTGGTGTTGGTGTTGGTTTTCTCAGCACTGGAATTTGCCTGGTCACCATGTCTATGAGGAATCCAGACATTCTCGACAGGGTACTGGGATGACTAAACTAGCCTTCTTGGGACACACTCATCACTCCTGGATTTAACCAGATAATCAAGAGAAAACAGAACAACGCTGTCCTGTTCAATGGTGATCTAAACCCAACAACCATGCAAATGAAATAAGAGCAAGAATGTCGCCGCTTATACCAGAAAGCTGAACCTACCAGCCACTGTCTGTGGGCCTGCCACCCTTGTCAATGGTCAAGCCACCTTGTGCTTGAGTAAGTGTAAATCTAACTTGAGTAAAATCTTGATCTTGACTTCCTTTCTCAAGTGTTACTCTTAGTCCCTCAACTAAAAGAGGAAGCATGAGAAAACAGTGAACTTCGGAGGCTGATAGCCCTGGGTCGATCCCGTTCTGGCTCTGTTTAGCTCCGCTCTTCAGTTTTCTCATCTCTGAAACAGGGGCAATTATATCTCTCATTTAAAATGAATAAATTGGAATTCTGGCTTTAAGCACTCGCCTCTGTGAGCTTCCTCAGGACATCTGTTCCGATAAAGCGTGTGTGTCAAAGTCCTGCTCATCGTCTCGGGATAGGTGGCCACCTGTCCAGAGGGCACC